TCCAACCTAATAGCGATGGCCTCCAACCTAATAGCGATGGCCTCCAAGCTAATAGCAATGGCCTCCACCCTAATAGCAATGGCCTCCAACCTAATAGCGATGGCCAACCAAAGTAGAGCACAGCGGTCACATTGACTTTGCCGCTTGCTTGGGCTTTGGTACACAAAGCTTTCGCTACCTAGGGTCAGGACTGGCCAACGGTGGTTTCACCAAGAACCTTGCCACCATGTTCCTGTCAAACTCGTTGCTAATGACAAAGTCGCGCAACGGCAACAGGAAGACGGCAATGCAGCTTGCACCAAAACAAGACTTGATCTTCGAAAGTGAAGCTCATTCAAAAACTGCTGCAGTCAGCGGTGCACCCTTCTGTCTGCATCCTTCCGTCTACATCCTTCTGTCAACTGCTGTGTTACTGCTTTGACTCAACAGGTTCTGTCAGAATGGGTTTGCCATGCTGCAGGCGTCCCCATTCTTAAAGTGCCTTTCGAAGCGCAGTCAGCTGTGGTGCCTTCTTCTCGGCAAGCCCCTGGACATGGCGAGATAGTAGCTATATATTTGTGAGCTGCAAAAACTCTCATGTGTAGCTAAATAGATATTTGTATATATATATATATATTCATTAATCTATTTATACTCTTTTTTAATACTGTCTACTCGCAAGACTCTTGTTTTGCTGGACAAGACTCAACTTCTGAGAATGCAAATCAGCCAAGCCTGAATCTTGTGCTTCAAAGTGTCCACCACGGCAGAGAATGCCCGCCTCCTTACAAGAAAATAGCATTGCGTGCATATTAATGTCTGAACTCGCTACGACCAAGATTGCCAGAGGACTCACAGCAAAAAAACAGTCAGCTGACCCTGGGTCGTTGGGGTAGTAGTGGTCCTGCAGCCACCGACATTAGACTCCAACTAGGATGCTGGATAAGAAACCTCACTAGGCAGAGTTATGCAGTCTCTCGGTCATGTATCATAATCGACCGGATCTAGACTGCAAAGTAAGTGGGGCTAGATAAGCAATGCAATGTGGTGAGGTGAGGGTACCTGGCAAGAGCAAATAAGATGTTGCGATCACGGCCTGGCTCCAGTCGCAGGGTTTTTCAGGGTTCCAGGGGTTCCAGGGGAAAAGTTGCGATCAGAGCTGGTTCGAGGGTTCCATGCAGAACCCAGAGTTCCAACGTTCAGGCGAAAAAGTTGCGATCGGGGCCTGCCTGGTTCCAAGATAAGAGAAGCAAGAACCCTTGGAGCTTCCAGCAACCCAGGAGTCAGTCGCAGTTCTTGTGAAAATGACCCAAAACCATTCCATCTCTGAGTCAACAGTCGGTGGGCTCTGGAGGCCTTTTACAACGAGGTCGTTGCCAAAACCTGTATCCACTCAGGATGCCGCTGGCGGCCAGGAAAGCGGAGCGCCTCTGTGTTTCCAATGTGTGTCCCTCTTCAAACAGATCTGTTATGTTCTCTCTCTCTCTCTCTCGCTCTCTCTCTCTCTCTCTCTCTCTACTTCTTGCAAGGCTTTCATGACACATATTGGCAGAGACTTTTTCAAGGACTCTCAAGACCAGACCTGGCCTTGTGCATCATCCTTCCACAGGCACCAGAAAAGGGCTCTCCCTAGTGTTGACCGCAAAGGCTTGCAGTTCAGCGAAGGCAAGCAAAATCGGAAAAAAAACATCCAGAATCATGCGGCATATCATGGCTCAGACTTCCAAGTAGTAGTGCAGGAAGCACACATGCCACATCCACTCATGACAAGAGACTGCCCACAACCTGTATGCTGTATTTGTACGGTATTTTGCTATCATTAGGGCTATCATTGATAACTTCAGGCTCAAGGCAAAAAAGAAATGCATCTATTCTCCCTGCACCGCCGTCTGCTGAAGACATCGTGGACTTGCATGCATGGCTTGATGTGTGACAGACCAGCATAACATGAGGCTTTTGACACTTCGCACTTTGCAAAGCAAGCGAATCCTGTTGCGTCCTTCGCAGGGCCATTTCGGCAGGTCAAAGCTCCGTTTCTGCCCAAAAATATCGATATGTTTCCCGAGACTTGCCATCTCGCGAGAAGGCCTCCCAAAAACGGCACCAGCCTCAGTTGGTGCTATCTCATGTTAATTTGATCCACTACCTACACAGGCCAGAATCAAGTGGGCGTCAACCATTCCTGCAAAAGAACTTGAAGGCAACAGGCTGAGGTTTCAAATGCCGATTTGCGCTCAAAGCACTTCACGTCTTGTGAAGCTGCAAATGGCCATAGGCGGCCGGCCACGCAGAACTCTTTCTCCCGGGCAACGGATCATGACTTTGGGGTTCTTAAGTTCTTGAGGTTCTCCTCCCGTTCACCATTATTCAAAGGCACAGTTTTGGAGTTTCAGCAAGGAAAGCAACGTCCAGCATAATACTCTTCCTCATGCGGTTGGTTGTGACATGATTCCTCATGCTTCATGCCTCATGTCTATGGAGAAAGAGGTCTGTCTACTGAGTCTACTCCGGGTTTTCAATGGCCGCAACCTGGAGAAAGGGGTCTCTGTTGCATAGATTACTGACTGACTCATAAAGCCAAAACTCGGTTAACTGCAGGCGAGACCAGATTCACCACGAGATTCGTCGTCCTTCCGTTCTCTCCAAGTCCTTCCATCCTTCCGTCTTTCCGTTGAATTTGCCTTCAACTAACTCACGAAACTTCGAGGTCCAAACCCCGTACTTGTCGCCCTCCTTGTGACGCTTGTCGCGCCAGCTTCTCAACAAACCTGACAAGCTAGTGAGATTTTCGACTTCAACAAGACCTTCAGCCCACA